TTCATTCAGGTTGCTTTATCCTCCCCATTTTCAAAATACAATTGTCTTAAATATTACCTCTACATACATTGAATATCACATTAGATGGTGTTTTAATTATTGGTTCAACCCTTAAATATGACTTCATATCCTGAGAAGGATATCCTATTTATACCTTTCCCCACTGAAAAGAATTTTCATTTTTTTCTGTCTGGATTTCTAAGACTGCTTCTATTAAAACCTTTTTTTTTTTTCTGTTTAGAGAACTTCCTTTAGCCCTTCTTTAATGATAGGTTTATTGGCAACAAATTCTTTTAGTTTTCCTTCTTCTGAGAATGTCTTTATTTTTCCTTCATTTTTGGAGGGAATATTTTTACTGGATATAGAATTCTGAGTTCAGTTATTTTTTTTAGTACTTGAAAAATATTATGTTACTTCTTTCTGGAATGCATGGTTTCAGATGAGAGATGTACTGTCATTCTAATTGGTGTTCCCTCTAAGTAGCATGTCATTAGTTAGAGTAATGACACTTAGAGTAATGACACTACTGTGTCTTTCCTCAAATCTTCAAATCTCATGGTTCACAGATAGCCTCCTTCTTCCCTGCCATCTCTGAGTCTGTCTATGCCAGTTGTGTTCTGTCCAGGGTTTTTTAGTTGAGAGAGACCTGGGAGGAAGGCGGCTACTATATCTTGGTTGGAATTCAAAGAGCATTTTTCTTTAAAATAATTTTATTAGATCATACATGTACAATAGCTTCTTAACTCTGTATATGAATTTAAAATGTTAAAAAGGAAAATGTCTGTCTTACTACACCATGATACTGGGAAATAGCTTCTTAACTCTGAGAAATAAATCTTTTGAAAGGTTTCACATGCCACCTGAAACTTAGAAATTTAACATTATCAAAGAAGTTTTGCTTCAATACTTTTACAAAGACCACTAGAAAGAAACAACAATTAAAAAGCTAATAAATAGTCTCAGAGGCACTTTCCCCTATAATCCATCTTCCATGGTAAGGTAATATTATTACACAACCCAATCCATTCACAAAATGCCTCTTTGTATCTGATCTGATGTCTTCTTCCATATCACTGCATGTTTATGCATAATTGAGGTAAGATTTCCTTAACATTGCTATTTTGATAACCTGAAGCTGTTCTATTACCTCTAGGCTCTCATCCTCTTCATGAGCTACTCAGTGAAGCCCATGGCAAATAGAAAGGAGCTCTTCCCTCTGTAACCACCACTTTTTTCACTGCTTCCTGGACCACAGTTTCCTCTACCATATGGCACCCTAATGTTCCTTCTGCTACCAAAATTCATTGGACCATATGAAGAGATTGCTAGTTATAATTTCCAGAATCACTGTAATTTCCCATTTTCATAATTTTCTTTTCCACAGTTGTCATAACCACCTCCATAGCCCACATCCTGGTTGCCACATTCAGGTCCTCCACCACTATACCCACATTTTCCTAGTCCACAACTAGTGCTACTTCCAAAATTGCCACCTTCAGATCCTCCTTCATGCCCATTATAGCCATCCCTGAATCTGTGACCACTTCCATATCTATCAGATCATCCTCTAAAGTTACTGGTCCTGGTCCAAAATTTCCATAGCCACCACATGAATCCTCCAAACAAAAGTTGCCTCTTCTGCTACTCCTAGAACTTTGAATTTTCTTCATTTCTTATAATGATAAAACCTTTCTTAAAGCACTATGACCACTGATGGTTTGGTATTTCCACAGTGCAATTTAATCCACAGGAAACAAAGCCAATGCCTCTTTTCTTTCCAGACTGCCTATCAGTAGTGATCTCAAATGGTATCAACTTTTCCATATCCCTCAAAGTACTCTTTATGGTGATATTCCTCAGTGTTTACAGTTACATGAGCCTCATATTTTCAAGATTCCTCTCTTGCTACAGCCCATTTTGACTCAATCATGCTCCCTTCAATTGCAGCTATGGCAGTATGAACTTCAGCCACAGATGACAAAGTTATAAAGCCAAATCCTCTTGAGCTTTTGCTTGCAGGGTCCCTCATTACCACACAGTCAAGTTTTCCCCATTGCTCAGAGTAGTTCCTCAAACTTTCTTCTGTGGTTTCAAAGCTTAAGGCATCAATAAAGAATTTATGGGACTGTTCCTTTTCTCTCTCCATCACAGACTCAGTCACCTCAGCAGGATTTCCCACAACGGAGTGACAGGAGAGATCTCTGCAGATGGCAAGCACAAACTGAACTCATTCTGCTACTGTTTTTGCAAGGCATTTTTAAGTGCAAAAAAAAATCTATCATTTCCTTGATGGTTTCTACTTTGATGTAGTGCATACAAAGACTGTCCACACTGCAAGATAGTTTCAAAATCATCTATATTTCATTGTGTTACATCTCTGATTTCTCCCTTCATGTTTGCTTTATAGTCTAGCTTTACTTTTTCCCAAATAAGAAACTCTATTTTCTCAAGCTATCTAAGCTTATTCCAAGTCATTTTTTCTCCCTTTCTTCCTCCACCTCTTCTTCTCTCTCTCCTTACTTACTCTATTGACTTTCCCTTTAATTCCAGAGAGCTGACTTGCATCATCATCACACTGAGTTTGATATTAACATGCTAATAACAGAGCATATTGGGCCATATTATTTGTAAACATTTTCACAGTAAATACCAAAAATATAGGCATCTAGATAAATATTGTAATTATTTTGTAATGTTGAAAAATATGCAAATATTATTTTAATTGGAATTGCATTAAGTTTACAGTAATTTAGGCCTTAGAATTCATTTATATAAAATAACACACACATATGTGTGTGATTCTAGATGCATAATTCATATATAAATGGAAGTTACTTTTAAGATTTCTGAAACATATGACATATTTCTCTCAAATTCAATATAAAAATTAAATCAAGAAAAACATCTGAATGTGGTCTACCAGCAGTAATGGTAATAAATCAACACAAGGTATGTCTTAGTCTGTTTTGTGCTACTATAGCAAAATACCTGAGACTGGGTAATTTATAATGGACAGAAATTTATTGGCTCACAGTTCTGGAGGGTGGAAAGTCCAAGATTAAGGTGCCAGCATCTGGTGAGGGCTTTCTTGCTGCATCATGACATGGTGGAGGGGCAAGGAGGGTAAACTCACTCCCATGAGCCCTTTTTATGGCATTAATCTATTTATGAGGACAGAGTTATCATGACCAAAACACCTTCCATTAGGTACTGCTTTCCAACACTGTTGCACTGAGGATTAAGTTTCCAAAAAGGAAACCTCTTTGCTCAATATCCTATACTATTTTTGATAATCTCTTTGCTGGTTTTATAAGAGTAAAATGATATCAGGTGCATTTCTTTAATATATATGTTTTTTGAGACAGCATCTCACTCTGTTGTTTGGCTACAGTCGAGTGGCATCATCATACCTCACTGCAACCTCAAACTCCTGGGCTGGAGTGATCCTCTTGCTTCAGCCTCCCAAGTAGCTGGGACTATAGGCATGCACCATCATGCCCAGCAAAATTTTTTTTGGTAGAGATGGGGTCTTGGGCTGTTGTTCAGGCTGGTCTTCAACTCGTGGCCTCAAGTATTCTTCCTGCTTCAGGCACTCAAAGTGCTAAGATTACAGGGGTGAGCCACTATGCCCTGCCCAAATTCTTATGTTTCCTAGAACTTTAAAAAGTAATTACATGTTCGTTTCCTTTGTCCATTTTTCTACTGAATTGATTAGTGCATTAATTTATAAGAACTTTTATATGCTAGGCATATCATTGCTTTATGTTACATTTTGTTGCAAGTTTTTCCGTTTTTATATTGACCATTGTATGTGTATGTGTGTGTGTGTGTATATTCATATATTTTTGCCAGATATTGCAACTTTAATATTGTTCTGAAAGTGTTAGTCAACACAGTTAGCAAAAATAAAAATAAAGGACTATAAATATTTTAAAAGGGGAGAAAATATCTTATTCTTTGTAGATGATATAATCACATAGTTGAAAAAATAGAAACAATCACTTAAAAAATTTTGAAAATATTAAGTTTAGTAACCTGGAGAGATACAAAATAAATACACAAAATCAATGTTGTTATTTACTAATAATAACCAATTAAAATTTAAAATGGTATAAAAGACCTCATTCACCAAAGTGGTAACAATAACAAAATAAAATAACTAGAGGAGACTTAGTAAGAAATATATACATGACAGATGAAAAGATAACAAATCCAACAAAAGACATTTAAAAGGACTTGAATAAATGATGAGATATGTTGTTCTCAGATATATAAGTTAATTTCCAAATATTTAGGGATTTTCCAGGTCTCTTTATGATGTAGATTCTATTTTTTATATAGTTATAGAGTGTAGTTTGTATAGCTTTAATTCTTTTAATTTGTCAAAACTGTTTTTTGACATGGAATATGGTGATTCTCTTTGTCCCTGGTAATATTCCTTGTCTGCAGTCAGTTTTGTCTATTAATAAAGCCCCTCCAGCTTTTTAAAAAAGTAGTGTTTGTACCTTTTCTCATATTTTTACTTTTAACCTATCTATGTCTTATATTAAAAAGTGGACTTCTTGTGGATGGCACATAGTTGGGTCCTGTTATTTTTTTTATCTAATCTGGAAATCTTTGTCATTTAATTGTCTTTTCTTAATTGTACTATCTTTTATGAGGCATTTATTCACTTATTTATGTATACGTGAAAGAAACAACATACTTGTGTTTTCTGTTCTCCATTGTGGAGGAAGATTATGAAGAGAGTATCTAAACTATTTACAAGTCAAAACCCATCTGGGCTAGAAATGAAATATGAAGAGAACTAAATTGTTATACAGCTGTGCCATAAGAGCATAGGTGGTTTAGCTCATATTTTGGGTATGAAGCAATTTAGCTCATTTCACAGGAAATAAAAGTAGGTGCTGATCATGAAAACTCCAATTAACTATTTTTAGCATGCCTCTTAATTATTCTCTCCCCTGGTTTCTTGTCTTCTGTGCCTGAGTCTTGAACAGGTAACCACCTGAGAGGATGTCAGCAAGAGATGGGCCACGGAGGAAGTGTCAGCAACATGAAGATATAAATCCGGCCATAACTATATAGACAGTCCACCTGAACTGTTCAGCCATGTACCTGTAAATAAATTCAATGCAGAAAAAAGAATAATTCCCTAGAACATCTGTTCAACTAGCTTTTGGCCCTTGTAGTCCATCTGTGTGGGCAGCAAGCTCAGATGCTCCAGCATGACTGGCTGAGAAGGTGAGCAGTAGAGGACAGGCAGGAGGCTGCAGGGTGAGGGTGTCTGAAACTCAGGATCTATCACAGGGGCTGGGGCTGGTACTGTGTGTCACCTGGCGGGCCTGCCAAGCCAGGCAGTGCAATGGCCGCTTCATTTAATTGTCTTTTTATGATTTTGTTTGTGTGTGGTTTATTACGTATATATTTATTGCATTATTTTAGTGGTATCTTTGAGTTTATAGTATACATTTTAACTCATCACAATTTATCTTCACGTGCTACTATACTATTTACATAAAGTAGACATACCTTACAACAATGTATTTCCATTTTGATCCTGGCTATCATGCTATCATTGTTAGACATTTTTACTCCTATATATGCTAGAAGCACAATACATTCTTCTTAATTTAAACAGTTGATTATGTGTTAAAGAGATTTGAGTAGAAACACAGCTTTTACTTATTCTTTCTAGTGCTTTTCATTCTTTTGTGTAGATTTCTATTTCTTTCCGGTATCTTTTTCCTTCTGATTGAAGGATGTCCTTTAATTTTTTTTTTTTTTTTGTAATGCAGGCCTGCTGTGATAATGAATTCTTTTAGCTTTTGTATTTTTGTTTATTCACAGGGTAAAGAATTCTGGGTTGATATATTGTTTTCTTTCAGTTCTTTAAAGATGTTGCTCCTTTTGCCTTGCATTTTTTACGGAGAGAAATCTGCTGTCATCTTTATCTTTGTTTATCTGCACATAGTATGTCTTGTCTCTCTGGCTTTTTAAAAGACATTTCCTTATAACTGGTTTTAAGCAGTTGTACCTTGGTATTGTTTTCTTCATATTTCTTTTGCTTGGGCTTCATTGAGCTGCTTTGATCTGTCATTTTATAATTTTCATCAAAAATTTTTCATAATAATTTTCATTTGAGTATTTTTTCCTCCCTATTTTACTTTGCATAGCTTCCCCTTCCATGTTTTCAAGTTCACTAACCTTTTTTCCTGAAAAGTTTAGTCTGCTGGAATAAGAACTATATCATTCAAGGTCCTCCAGAGCATGTATGTGTGTGTATGTGTAAGGCAGAGAGATATTGATTGATTTATGGAATTGGCTCATGAAATTGCAGGTGCTGGCAAGTTTGAAATTTATAGGGCAGGCAGGCAGGCAGGCTAGAAATTCAGATAAGACTTGGTGTTGCAATCTTGAGTATAAAATTTCTAGGGAAGGACAAGCAGACTGAAAACTCAGCAGGATTTCCGTTACAGTCTTGAGGCCGAATTCATTCCTCTCTGGAAATCGTATATTTTGCTCTTAAGGCCTTCAACTAATTGGATGAAACCCACCCACATTGTGGACGATAATGTTCCTTAAAGGCAACTGACTGAACACATTAATCACATCTATAAAATATCTTCATAGCAGCACTTAGACTAGTATTTGACCAAACAACTGGTGACCATATCCTAGCCAGGTTGACACATAAAATTAACCCTACCATCCAGTGTATTTCTCATCTCAGACATTGTAGTTTTCACTTCTAGAAATTCAATTTGAGTCTCTTTTATATCTTTCATAGCCCTACTTACATGTTCAATCTTTCCTGTAGCTTACTGAACATATGGATTATAGTTATAATAATTGTTTTAGTAGCTTCTTGAACATATAGATTATAGTTATAATAATTGTTTTAGTGTCCTTACCTTTTACTTCTATCATCTGTGCCATTTGTGTTATTTTTGTTGACTTACTTTTCTGCTCATTCTGGGCAATACATTTCTGCTACTTCCTATGCTGGATTTTTTTAAATTGGAATTCTGAAATCCTGAGTTTTGCCTTATTGGTGCTGGATTGTTTTGTATTCCTCTAATATCTGGGGTGCAATTAAGTCACTTGGGAACAATTTGATCCTTTCTAGGCTTGGTTGTAAGCTCTCTCAGGTGAGACAAGAGAAGCATTTAGGCCTAATTTTGCCCCACTATTGAGGTAAAACCCTTTTGAGTATATTACTCAATGCCATGTGAATTATGACAATTTCCACTCTGGTGAGAACAGGCAGTATTTCTTTCTTTAAACTCACAGTATTTCCCTCTAACTCTTTCCAGTAGTTTTCCCCCCCTGATGCTAAGGAGTTTCTTCATATGTATGTGCTGATACTTGAGAAAGAGGGCTCTCTGCACATCTCTGCACATCTTTGGAGTTCTTTCCCCTTTTCAGTACTCTGCCCTGTGAACTCAAGTTGTCTTGGCCTCCTCAGATTCCCAGCTCCATCTCTTCAATTCAAGTAGAACTCCAGGTTCTACATGGGTTTTCCTTCTCTGTCCTGTGACTTGGAAATTCTCTCCCTCTGAGGAAGCGTCCTCATTCATTACTTATGTCTCATAGATCACTGTCCTTCATTGTCTGATGTCCAGTGTTTTCAAATCTGTTTATTCATATATTTTGTCCTTTTTATTGTTGATTTAAGTGAAAGGCTAAATCTACTCCCTGTTACTTCATTTGGAGGAGAAGCAAATAAGAAGTAACTTGAAAATATCATTTTTGTCAAATTCCTACAAAAAGAGTGTGTGTCTTTTTGCAAAAACTATGGTATGTTTCTGAGCTTTCTATTCTGTTACATCCAATAAATAATTTTTGTATTAGTAAAAAACACAAAAAAATCTTTTTGGAGACAGTTTCACTCTGTCGCCCCGACTAGAGTGCAGTAGCCTCATCATAGATCACTGCAACCTTAAACTCCTGGGCTCAAGTGATCCTTCTTGCCTCAGTCTCCTTAGTAGCTGGGACTATAGGTGTGCCACCATGCCTGGCTAATTTTTTCTATTTTTTGTAGAGATGGAGGTCTTACTCTTGTTTGAGCTAGTCTCCAAGTCCTGACTTCACGCAATCCTCCTGCCTTGGCCTCCCAAAGTGCTAGGATTACATAAGTGAGCCACTGTGCCTGGCAGTAAAGTAATTTTTATTATAGTAGTTTTAAATGCCTTCAGATTTAGTTTTTTCTCATCTTTTTTCTTGTAATCAATTGGGTTTTGTTTAAAAAAATACTTCAGAATCTTCCTTATGAAAGAAAAAACCAGTACTTTTGGCATTTTTAGAAGTACCTTCATACAGGCTGTCATTTAAAACACCAGCGTGTACAGATAGGGATTAATTTGCATGATGGAGAAAAGTAAACATCCAGACTGCCATCTTTTTTAATAAAAGTAAATTAAAATTACAAGGACCATATCAAGTTTTTTAAAAAAAGATTTAGTGCTCACCTGAACCACCCTTCTCGTGTATCCGAAAGTTAGTTTGATTTTTCACGATTTCTCCAAGAGTGTAAGCAGTAGTAGTCATGTAGTCATGCAGTCTCAGTAGTCATGAGAGTCTCAGTGCGAGAAGCAGGCAAGAAGACCAGATCCTGTTGCTTGAAGCTCCAGGTCCAGGGGGAAGGGTCCCACCTCTCGCGGCGTTCTGGGTGGTGTAGTCTCGCTTCCCGGCGCACTCTGGGTATTGTGGTCCCTCGCTCGAGGATATTCTAGGTAGGGCCGTCGCGCGCCCGGGGCAGTCTGGGTAGTGTAGTTCCGCGCCCTGGGGCAGTCTGGGCCGGCGTATTTCAGCGTCTCGCCATCGTCGCCAGGCGCGTGGTGAGAGTCTTTTCGGGGTTCTGGTGAGCGAGCGCGCTCCTTCCCGTGGGGAAGAAGGTTGGGAAAGCTGGCGTGGGCGAGGGAGGTCCAGGTGGTGGGCTCACGTTCCTTGATATTTGATTTTCGGGGAAGGGTCGAGAGAGGTCTTGGCAGAGGTCCTCGGAGGCGGAGGGGCGTGGTCGTGTGCTTTCCCGATGGGGCGTTGGGCCCGGGATCCCGTACTGCGGGTCGGCGCGGGCCTGGGCCTACTCCGCGGCTGGGTCCTCAGTGCTTTGGGAGACACGGGGTGGGTTTGGCATGGAGCACCCAGACAGCATCCCTTCACTCCCACCTCGCTATCCACCGAGACCAGGAGGTGGCTGGGCCAGTGTGCCTCTGGACGAGGTGACACTTCCTCGGTTGGAACAAATATCTCTATTGGTGAGGGGCACACGGCTTGGGCATTAATCGGTTGTTGGTTTCGGGTCGCGTGGCTGTGTAGCACACCGTGGTAAGGCGGAGCTTGAAGGCGGAGCATGGCTACCGGGACCCGGGTTTGTGGGGGAGGATTGTCTTGCGTCAAACATCCAGACTTAGCCTTCATGGTGGGAGGATGGCTAGGCCTTGTGACTTGTGTCGCTGGCCTTGGGGCCTGCAGGCCCTGCGGAGCGTTGGTGAGTTGAGGCGAGCTGGGCAGGGGTTAGACATCCATCCCTGGGTTGTATTGGGCATCCTTGTGTCCAGATTACAGCTTCTGCCCTTGTGTGGCTTCCGGCTTTGGAGCCCTTTCAGGAGCATGGAGTGGAACAAGTAGAATAGTGCCCTAAGGGCCAAGGAACTTTTCCCAAGCCCAGGAACCTATTGACTGACTCTCTTGAATTTCTGGGTTGGAAGAGGTTGTTGGAGACAAGGCATCCAGACTTAATGTTCTTATTTCTAATTTTTTAGTATGAAAACATTGCAAACATACCCAAAAGTAGCTTTGAAGATGCATGGATTCATCACTCAGATTCACTGCTTATAAATGTGTAACCCATCATCTTTCCCCCAAATCAATAACCCCAAGTTTATATCTCTTTGGGAATAGTCTCTTTCTCTAGGCCCTTCATAGGGTGAGTTCAAATCCAGGTCTGCCTCTTTCTCATTGTCACTTTGAGCAAGGTACTTAACCCCATGGAGTTGCTGTGACCTGGGAATGAAGTAAAACTTGGATCTGGCACTTCTCTGCTGAAGTATTTTAAAACAAATTCCAAATGATATCATTTCTTCTGTAAGTACTTCAGTATGCATCTCTTATAAATAAAACTTTAAAGAAAACAACCCCAGTATTATCATACCCAACAAAATTAACACAATTTCTTTAATCTCATTTAGTATTCACACTGTGTTCAGTTTCCCTATTTGTTTCAAAAGATGCCTTGCTAC